TGAAGCTAATTATGGTAGTAGTTGTGAGTCATGTCTGCGCAAGGTTTTGGAGCACTGGTTAAAGAAAGATTACAATTATGAGTTCTTTGGCTCTCCATGTTGGAGGAGAGTGTGTGTAGCTGTTAAAGGAGGAGGAGGTGATCCAGCATTAGCTGAAGACATAGCTCGTGAACATCCTCTACCAGAATCTATTGGAGGAGAAAGTACAACAGGTAGGCTTTAAAATGCTTCTGTTTACAGTATGTTATATTTTGATGACGATGGATCACTGATCCGGCATTCTGTGTATTGCAAAATTTTTATTTGTCTGTAAATTTTGCAAATTTGCCCAAGAATTTATTTCACAGATTACACTGTCTGATATTCCGCCTGACTAGTCTGATATCTTGTGCCATAAAAATTAATTTGCAGAAATAAGTTTGTGAATCTTCGAAATTTGCAAAATTTACAGCTCTCAAAAATGTTGTGCTGTACGGTAACAAAAAATCATTTAAATTTAATCATTATTCATAACCTGGTGCAGTCACTCACATTCCATTTCCATACATGTAAAAATAAGACCACATGCATTGATAATGAATGCTAATTTTGGAGCTGACCTTTAGTGAAATTCGTATGATTTACATTATCAATTTGGCATTACAGTTATTCTTTTTATAGATACTTCAATTTATGCTCTTCCTGTAAAAGATGTTTGTATTCTGGATGAGATATACGAGTTTCAATGGGAGTTTTCTGATATTCTTAACAAAACAAAAGATGCATTTAAGCCTAAACTCCTTTCAAAAGTTATTGATTATCTTGAGACACATGTGCATGCTTTACTTGGTCCAAACAAAAATAATGAAGCTGCAATGCAAGGAGTTAAAGAAGAGCTACATAACATTGAAAGCATAAAAGATCTTTTCATGGTTTTACAGCGAAAGTACATATCATGGTTCAACTATGAACTAATAGTTAAACTTGTTGATGTATTCCTACCTAATAATCGTTCATTAAAGAGGACATGGTCAGACTACAAAGAAAAATTAAAGGATTACTTACTTAACAGTGGTGGTTTATTAACTGATGCTGATGCTTTAGAATTTGGTATAACAGATGTTCCTCCTGGTACACGAGTAATGATTGCTAAAGTTGATCGTGATGACTACTGACCTTTTCTTCTTTCGTAGAGCAATACCAAAAGAGCTAAATATTCGTAATGTTAATCTATACTTCAGTTTCGTTCGTATTGGCTCACTACAGCTGCTACATAATGTTCCCAATTACTTATACTCTGCATTGTTTCCTCTATCTACTGAGATACAGCAACAGTTAGCTAGTATTGGTATCAGTGAAATGACATGTGGCAATTATAAATATGATCTAAGAAAGGTTTGTAATAACTATCTTTTAATATTAAATGAGTTTACTTTTGTACTAATAGTTCTCAGCATCACAAGAGTCGCAACAGTCATCTTTAGATATTGGTATGTACAATGTGTAATTTTATTTATGTTATTTGATCATTCATTCATTCGTTCATATATAATTGATTATTCCTGTTAGATATATGCGATCAATTGTGGTATGAGAATACCAGTACACCATTACATGAAGCAGCTTGGAGAGGATTAAAAGATGAAGTACAATGGCTTCTTAACAAGTTTGGCTACAGCAGATACCATCGTGGTCTTCATGGTTGGACTCCATTACACTCTGCATCATATGGTGGACACATTGAGATCCTTCAACTACTCATCCATCAATATGGTATTGATCCTAATGAAGGTGATGATAATAGTGTATCTAGTATACATATGGCATCTTATAAAGGCCACTTATCTATAGTACAATATCTAGTAGACACGTGTCACGTTCCTCCTGATCAACCAGACAATAGCAATAACACTCCATTACTGTACTCAGCAATGGGGGGCCATTCTGACCTATTGGATTTTTTTATTGAGAGAAAGTGTGATGCTTCACATATTAATAGCGAAGGTGCATCTTTATCATTGCTAGCTTGTCAAAGTGGAAAGTTAGCTTTAATTCACAAACTTGAAAAGCTAAATCTTTTCTCATTAAGTTCAATTGATGATGATGGATTTAATGTGCTACATTATACAGTTAAACATAACTCCGTTGAGCTTTACCAGTACCTTTTAACTCTAGCCATTAACATGAAGAATCCAAATCGCCAAACTCCACTTATTAG